GCCCTGAGCTAACATCTGCCAATCCTCCTCTTTTTTGCTGAGGAAGACTGGCCCTGGGCTAACATCCATGCCCATCTTCCTCCACTTTATATGGGACGCCACCACAGCATGACTTGACAAGCAGTGTGTCAGTGCGCGCCCGTGATCCAAACCAGCAAACCCCGGGCCGCCACAGCGGAGCGCACGCACTTAACCACTTGCGCCACCAGGCTGGCACCCTCAGCACAGGGTCTTGAGTGTGGCTTTGTGGTGGTGCTCTTCTGGTTTGTTTTGGGACAGCAAACACTTGGGTTTCAAATGTGTGCTGGGGCCCCTTAGCTTAGGCCCAGCTCATATCTGCTCCTCTGAACTTTCCTTACAGGAAAACTTGATCGGCGCCCTTTTGGCGATTTTTGGACACCTTGTGGTCAGCATTGCGCTTAACCTCCAGGTAAGTTTCAGTCGCCAGCACTGTCTGGGGCAGAGATACAGCCGATAAGCCAGGATGTAGGGTGCAGGCCCAGCTGCCTCCTCACTGTGGGATGTTGCCTGTTCCATCCCTGGGCTGGGCCCAGGACAACACCTTGTGGGTTGTTCCAGAATGTCCCTTGATTCTTTGCCCCCACTTCATCCCGCCATCACCCATAACACTCATGACAGTGCTTTCCATTACTTAAAAGTCTCTGGGGGTGCCTGGAGCAGCTGTTGTGGATGCCCCTCCCCAGATCCCCTTGGCCCATGAGTTCGCAAGCAGCTGTGGCTTGGAGTAAGCTGATAGCTTGGAGAGCTTCTCCTGAGGGCACACGGGAACTGGTTCCACAGGCATAGCTAGGAAGCTTGGTGTGTGTGTTGGGTGGCGGGTGTGGATAATGCCTTCAACCAGTGGGGGATGGGAGTCAGTGGATAAATGCCCCAGGCTCCATCCTTGGGTAGGATGGTTCTGAGGTGAGTTCACAAGGTTTCTCAGAGGGTCCCCAGTGGGACTGAGGCCCAGTAGCCCAAGGCCCTAACTGGCCCATTAATGCCCTCTTCATTGGTCCTTCTCCCTTCCCTGTCTCACTTTCCTTCTCCCTTACTTGTGTTTCCTGGAATCACCTCCCAAATCAACTACCTGCTCCTGAGTCCTTGTCTCAGGGGCTGCTTCTGGGAAACCCAGACTAAGCCTTGACACCTGCGGACAGCATAAATCCCACTGCACGCTGGCCAACGCCTCTGGTGGCGCTACTTGGCTTCCAGCTGCGGTGAGCCGCTCTCCCTCCCTGCAGCAGGCACGTGAACACGTGTACCTGGTACATCTCGGGTCCCACGCACACACGTGTGTGAGAGTGTTTCTGAGGCCACGTGGTCTCTTAGCTACTTGTCTGGTTCATTCTACAGACCAGCATCTCTGCTTCCGTATCTGCTTCTGTGCAGCCCACATCATGATCCTCCCCAAATGGCAGCCTTGGTCCTCTAAGTCAACATGACTTTCTAGCTTTCCTTAGTCACTGCCTCAGTTTCTGTGTCCCCAGTTCACATTTCCAGAAAAGAGAATATTGGCCATACTTGGGCCAGGTATCCACCTGAGGGGGAGCAGGGTCCACTGATGCCCACAGGGCTGCCTAGCAGAGCTGCCAGCGCTTGCACAGAAGGGAGTGTTGCTGAGCGGGCATCCTGAACATGGGGACGCCTGGGCCTTGCAGTAAGAGGGAAAAGGTCAACTGAGGCCAGGCTGACGTGGGGGTCTTTAGACCATGGCTCCCACCCCAGACTGCACATTGCCTGTGATGTGCATTAGAAATGCACATTTCCAGGCCTCATCCACACCTCCCCTGAGAGTGACTCTAAGGATGAGACACATGTATTTTTTCAAAGCTTCCCGGGGAATTTTTAAGGCTTCCTAGGCAGTTTGAGAACTGCTGTCTTAGAATAGCAATCTAGAATTTAGATCACTACTGCTTGACTGCCCTCTGAGTAAGGACTCCAAAAAACCTGACAAATCTTCCCAAATAGAAGTGAGGGGTAGGTTTAGGATACGTGCATTACAGCATCTTTTCCCCAAACATCTGGGCAAATTGCATTCTTTCTCGGATTTCTAGAAGTACTGCCACATCCGCCTGGCAGGCTCCAAGGACCCCCGGGCCTATTTCAAGACCAAGACATGGTGGCTGGGCCTGTTCCTGATGCTGCTGGGTGAGCTCGGCGTGTTTGCCTCCTACGCCTTCGCCCCGCTCTCGCTGATCGTGCCCCTCAGCGCTGTCTCCGTGATAGGTAAGACCAGGTGCCCCCTCCCTCCCCTGAGAGTCGCCGCCTGTGTGACCACAGTGTCACATCCAGGATCAAAGACACTTGTTAAACAATCCAGCTATTGCTTTGATAATAATAGCTCACACTTAACAAAAGGCTTCACACACACCGGGCCCTGCTCTAAGCACTTGGCAGATATTAGTTCTCGTCCTTCCGGCAGCCTTTTGAGGGAGATACTGTTATATCCCCATTTTACAGGTGAGGAAATCGAGGCACAGACTGGTGAAGTTACTTCCCCCAAATCACACAGCTAGTGAGGGCAGGGCTAGGATACAGACCAGGTTGTCTGGCTCCAGAATCTGTTTAAATTTTTTTTTATTTCTACTGCGGAAGGAAGATAAACCTTAACCCATTCATCCTAGCACCGTTAAGATAACCTAAGCTTTTATAGAGTTCAGATGTCTTCTGCCTCTAAGAAATGCACATCCAGCTTATTCTCTGATCTTTTTACATCAACAGACACCATTTTTAAAACATCATTAACTTTCTCATCTGCCATTTTTCTATGATTTTTGTAATCACTGAGCCAGTGTTTCAGAACATTTGAACCAACTAAAAGACAAAGGAGCTTTAATGTCCATGAGGTCATAGATAAAATAGAATTTGGAAAAGAATTCTTTTCTTCTTAAATAAAAGATGTTAGGAGATTAGTGAACAATAGCTTTTTATATATAGGAGCAGGGCCAGTGAACTCGCTTTGGAATGTTTCCTCCCATCTTGCTGGCAGGCACTTCACTGCCTAGAAACTCTTCTGCTCTTAAGGGAGAAAATCATATTTTGAGTCTTAATGCTCCTGGAATTAAGAGAGTCTCTTCTCCACCAGGGATGGCATATGCTTAGCAGTTATGTGCCCCTCCTGTACCCATGGCAGACATCACTAATCAATCACAGCATTCCTTCCTGGCGAGCCTAGATGGGGCCTCAGAATTCCCAGAGCTTCAGGCAGTCACTGCCAATTACCAGGAGTTGGCAAAGGAGCAGAAGCCTATTTGTGTTCCCTGATCCTATTAAAAACCCCTCTTTTTCTTGACCAGGGTTGGTAAACTGGCAGCCCACAAGATGAGTGAGGTCCAAAGACACACTGTGTTCTTTCCTGCACAGTATGTTTTTTAAATATAATTGGAATGCCTTTAGTTGAGGCAAGTGGTCTGCCATTGTCTGAACTTTTCCCTATTGTCCTACATCTGGCCTGCTTTCTACGTTTGTGTTATTGCCCAGCCTCAGCAGGTGTTTAGCTTCGTCCTCTGCCCATTGCTGACCTCTCCAAAGGGCTCTCAGAACCTTTATGCACTATGAGGACTAAGTGACTGACTGACTAAGTGCTTTAAATATTAGTCTTTGAATTTTGATAAAGATCAAATAATCAAATTCTTAAGAATAAGAGGCTGAATTATAATGATGGGACTTCAGGTATCAGCCACAGGAAATTAAGGGGTTCTTAGAGCTTCTTAAGTCACCCAGTGAAATTAATATTAAAAATAAATAAATATTAGGGGCCGGCCCAGTGGCGTAGAGGTTAAGTTTGTGCGCTCTGCTTCCGTGGCCCAAGGTTCACAGGTTCAGATCCCAGGCACGGACCTACACACCGCTTATCAAGCCGTGCTGTGGCGGCGTCCCGTATAAAGTAGAGGAAGATGGGCACAGATGTTAGCCCAGGGCCAATCTTCCTCAGCAAAAAAGAGGAGCATTGGCATCGGATGTTAGCTCAGGGCTGATCTTCCTCACATACATACATACATAAATATTAAAAATAATAACTACTATTTATTGGGTACCTATTACTTATCAGTCACTGTTCCAGGTACTTAAATAATAATAATAGCAGCTCAGTTATTGAGCATTTACTGTGTGACAAATGATTTATATATATCATCTCATTTAATTGCCCCTGTAACTCAAGAGGTAGGTATTTTCAGTGGGGCTGATAAACCGACTCAGAGAGAGAGAGAATGAGAGAAGAATACAAAGAAGAGGAAGGGAAGGTGGGAAGGAACAGAAAAGTGAGAAAAGAGAGAAGGAAGACCTGATTTGTAGTGTTTTTTATCTATATGGTGTAAACACCCCCACTGCAGCTAATTTCAAGCTACCAATGGTTTCCTGAATATTTAACAATCAGCCAGCTGGTGCAAGCTGGACCCAGCACACTATTTCCTGGACTAGGAAACTGAGACCCCAGTAAAGTGACTGACCCCGGGTCACAGCCAGAAGAGGCAGAACTGAGAGAGTAATCCAGGCCTGTTCACGGTGCATGCCAGCCCCTTCCTTTAGGGCAGTCACAGGGAAGTTTGGATGAGTCTGCAACTGTGGCAGAGTCACAGAGAGAAAGGAACCAGGGGAAGATGTCGGAGGCAGGCCTTGCAGTGGAAGGAGCAAGAGCCCTGGTCTCTGACAGTCCTGGTCCAAGTCTAGCCTTCCCTTACCAGCTGCATGATCTCGAGTGGGTCCTTCACCTCTCTTAGCCTCTGTGTCCCCATTTTTCACATGAGAATAATAATAGCACCCACCTCAAAGGATGAACATGCCAGAAATAACTTGTGTAAACTGCCTGTCGCACAGCAAGTACTGAACAGAAGATGCCCCTGGCCTTGTAAGAAATCCTCAGGACAGCTCAGAGAGGGGCCTCCCTTTCCAAGATGGAAAACCGGAAGGGACTGAGCTCTTGGGAGCATGAGTGAGAGGTTAGGAAGGACCAAGCTCCAGTGCAAATGAGCCAACCCAGAGGGCGTGGGGGAAGGGACTCAACCACGCGTGTGACTGACGGCGGCCTCCATTCTCTTCCCTATGCTTTTTTTATAGCTAGCGCCATCATAGGAATCATATTCATCAAAGAAAAATGGAAACCTAAAGACTTTCTGAGTAAGTTCACTGATTTGAGCCCTGTTCTTAATTTTATGCTTGTGCTTTTTTCATTATAAAACCAGCTCATCCCAATTCAGAGATCATCTCTCTCCTGTTCCCTCCTGTGGTTCTATATTCCACCCTCCTCAGCCTCCTGAGAGCTGGGTTTTTAAATCGGTGGTTCCAAACCTGGCTACACATCAGAATCCTCCATGAGACTTTTTAGAATGGACTTCCATTCATTTTCGTCAGTCAATATTTATTGAGCGTCTATTGTGAGGATTTTAGGAGGCCCAGTAAAAGGCACCCTCTTCCCCTAACTAAGTTCTAAAGCAATGGAAAATAAACACGGAAGTCAAACCCAGGAGGTCGGAAGTCAGGCTTTATTAGTACTAAAATCCAGACTGGAATGTGCAGCTTAGCTGTTCAGCCAAAGGAACTTGCTCTCACTCCCAACCCCTACACCCCAGCTCCCAGCTGGACCTGGGGCCGGCCTCCCAAGGAGAGATCTGGGTTTACAGAGTGGAACACTTGTGTAGAATTACTGCCTCACAGTCTGGGGCAGAGAAGGAAGGAAAAAGAGCTCAGCCTCAGTGTTTAAATTCTGTTGATTGATTAGCTCCACTCAGATGAGAAAGGTGGACCAGTGGGCACGAGGTGGGAGTATCAGTCCAACGGAGGTCCCTCCACGTGCGAACCTGAGGAGTGAGGAAGGAATGTCCCCCAAGACGCCTGCTAAGTGCCACACTCTGTTGTAAATACCAGGAATATAGCAGCAGGGCAGATGGGGTTCCTCCTCTCATGGAGATTGTAGTCTAATGCGTGTGTGTTGAGAGAGAAGGCATACAATAAATAAACAAGTAAACAACTAAATAAAATAATTTTAGATCATAATGAGTGCTTCAGAAGAATGGAATACTTCTTGATGTGGGACTGGAGAGATGGGGATATTTTGCCTAGACTGGGCAGGATTAGACTCTGAAAAGGTGAAGAGCCCAGACCTAAATGATGCTAAAGAGACTGTCATGTGGAAGGAGCAGCAGGTGCAAAGGCCCTGAGGTAGGAATAGGCTTGGCGTGTCCAGGATCAGTAAGGCCAGTGTAGCTGGAAGGTGATGAGTAAGGGAAGGAGGACATGAGAGCAGAGCGGCATGGAGGACTGGATGATGGAGTGCCTTATAAGCCATGCTAAGGAGTTAAGGAGGGACATGATGGTGGGCCCAGGCTCTGTCCTCTGAGATTTTGAAGTCTGGGCTGGGGCCTGGGCATTTGCGTTCTTATAAAGCTCCCCATGGTGAAGTATATATGTCAGCAACACGCTTTGAAATGTATCAAAAAAATAAGATGGCTTGATGAATGGATGGAGAGATGAAGAGAATGGGTAGATATGTGATAAGGCAAGTACCATAAAATGTCGTTGAAAATGTAAGTGGTGGGACTAAGGGTGCTCACTGTACAACTCTTTCAACTTTTCTGAGTGTCTGAAAAATTTTAAAACAAAATATCAGGGAGAAGAAGCTCCCGAGATGCTGTGGACACACAGCCAGGTTTGGGAACCACTGTTCTGAATCGTTGGTGTAGAGGAAGAACAAGGTGGAGCCGGAGGATGAAAGAGGAAAGAATCTTAGAAAAGAAAAACGCAGATGATGCAACAGATGATGCCAGGAAGACTGAAAGACTCAGGCTGATTTGCAATAGTCCTGGTGGTGGGGCGAGGGGGACCCTGGGCTGGTTCTGAGGCCAGTGTATAGGTTTATGTCCCTTCCAGGGTCACTCTAGATAGTTCCTGAGTGAGAGCCATGCTAGTCCAGGCAGTCCCCTATGTAAATTGGAAAAAGATGTCCCTTCTGGGCATCTGTTGCCCTGTGGACACATGCCTTAGTGAGCAGAGCATGGGCTAGATTTTACCCCTCCTCACTCCTTTAGCTAGGGGCCCTTGTGCAGTGAGCAACCTGCACAGCTGTCCATGGCTGTCCTGCCTAAAGTTCCATTAAATTCAGCGAACACTCGCTCAGTGCTAGACCTGTGCTGGATACTGCGGGCACAGAGATGAGTAAGATCTATACCTGCCTAAAGAAAACTTAAGACACAGACTTGTGTATCTTAGCACAGAACTTACTATGTGAAGTTTAACCATGGTTAATTCAATTATTGAACAATTGAACAGCCAGTTTTTGAGCCCTTCCTACATTTGTGAGGCCTTTAATGAAAATAAACACATTTAATATGATATCACATTTTGTGGAGACAGTGGAATGGGTATAGTTAGTTCTATCCCAGAAAAATCCAGAGGCTTGTGGTCGCCATGTGTGCAGCTCAGAACTCACAGCCCTTTTCAGCTTGCTTGGGCTGGACCTCGAGAGAGTTTTCACCAACCCTGCAGCGTTCATCTGTGTGACAGGACCCTGGGGAAGAGTCGGGGACTCTTGTCCTTCACAGGGGCATGTCTCCTGGGCCACTAGCTGTCTCTAACAGGTCTATGGAGGAGAATATTGATGGTATTTACGTAGTTCCCTCGGGAGTAAGTTAAATAGCCACTTGGGAAAGGGTGAGGTAATTTCAGAAAGGTACATAGGTAGGCTCTGAAGGTTTGCTTTTGAAGTTTTTTAATTTGGTTTTGTAGCTTGCGCATAAAGTGATTCTAGCTTTAAAATATTCCCTATAAATACACGTTGAGACCACAGTGCCATACCAGAATGGCTAAAATGAAGAAGAAAAAATAGGCAGTTTTCCTCTCATGCTCTACTGGTGGGAGTGTAAGTTGGTACAGCCACTTTGGAAAACCATTGGACAGGAACTGCTAACCTGAGCATCCACATCTTCTGTGACCCAGGAACTCCACTCCTAGTGTTATACCCAACAGAAATACATATCTGTGTTTCCAAACGACATGTACAAGAATGCCCGTAGCAGCATGATTTGTTATAAGCCAAGACTGGAGACTACTGAAATGCCCGTCAACAGTAGAAAGGATCATTTGTGTTGTAGTCACACAATGGACCACTTACAGCAGTGAGGATGGAGGAGGCCCACTGCATGCCCCAACACAGGTGAACCTCACCAGCATCATGTCACGTGAACACAGACACAGGAGGACATACTGAGCGAATCCATTTAAATAGAGTACAAAACCATGCAAACCATCAGTAGTAGTAGAAGCCAAGCCAGTGTTACCCTGGGGCTGGGGGCTGGTGATTGGAAGGGGGATCTTGATGTCCTGCTAATGTTCCCTGTCTTGATCGGGTGCTGATTACATGGGTGTGTTCACTTTGTAAGAATTCATCGAGCCTTTGTTTGTGTGCATGTTACACTTCATTAAAATTTTTTAACATGTTTTTTAACAAGGTAACCTATTTTTTAAAGTAAAGAAAACCCAAAAATGCAAACACCAAGAGGTGTTGCCCCAGAAGCGCATCCTGGCCTGGGGCCCGCCCCGTGGCGAGCCCTGTGACAGCCTCCCCTCCCCCACAGGGCGCTACGTGTTGTCCTTCGTTGGCTGCGGTTTGGCCATCGTGGGCACCTACCTGCTGGTGACATTCGCACCCAACAGTCATGAGAAGATGACAGGCGAGAACATCACCAGGCACCTTGTGAGCTGGCCTTTTCTCTTGTACATGGTAAGAGAAGCCTCTGGTCCTTCCACCTGAGATGGCGAGAGGGGGGATTGAGTCCTAGAAACCAGAAACCTGAAGGCCCAGCAATAGGGGATTCCCACGAATTGTGGCGTATTTCACAGCACTGAAGACCTTGCTCGTGGAGGGTACGTAGTTCGCGGGGAAATGGTGTTTTGTATGTCCTGAGTCATGTCTGAAACTGCATGTATAGTATGACAGCTTTATTTTTTAGAGGTATTTGTAGGTGTGTGCATATAATGTGTCTAGAAAGGACACAAATTCCATCAGTAGTTTCTCTGGGAGATGGAGTTATGATTGAGTTTTTATTTTGTCTTCATCTTTATGTATCATCCAAAACTCCTTTGGTGAGCATTTAAAACTTTTATGGTAAGAAAAAAAGTTAAAATTGTAAACAGTTATAGAATGTTATTTATTTATTTTGGCCCAGTATCACACAGCTGATAGAAACACGGGAGACACTGGAAACTTCCGTCTCCTAAACCCCCAGCCACAGCCCCGGTTATATCCTGTGCTAGGTCTGCGAATAGCTAACCGAGGAAAAGATCTAAGGTGTTTGGTAAAGCTACTGGTGTACTCCTGTTCCACGCCTGGCACCGTGCTAGACACTTTTTTATGTATCATCTCAGATTCTGTCAACAGAATCTGACATGATAGAGTACAAAAGCAAGTGTTTTTCTCTCCATTTTATGGATGAGAACACTGGGGCTCGGGGAGGTTAGCTAACATGCTCAGTCCTGGAGAGCAGAGCTGGACTTGAGGCCGGGCCCGCGTGGCCTCAGGTGCCGCCTTCCTTCACCAGGGCCTGCTGACGAAGGCGTTCGCTGTTTTCCCTCTGACGCGAGCAGCCTGGGGCTGCTCCAGAAGCCCCGGAATATCCTTTCTCCTCAGACTGCCCACAGGCAGAGGATAGAGCTCCCCAAACTGGGGTGTGTCACCTCCCTACCCCCAGCCAGCGCCAGCGTTCACCTGGTCGGGGTGGAGAGATGTCCGCAGGACAGAGCCAAAGACCCAACCCTTCAGGAAAAGCTCTACCCAGAACGCAGACTTGTTTCTCAGGGACTGCTGGCCTTGGCCAAGTCGCTTAACCGGAAGCTCTGACTCCTTCTCTGTAAGCTGGAAACCACCCAGCAGTTGGCAGGTGCTGGGCGACTGACTCAGTTTGTCTTCCTTCATCATGTCTGTAAGGCCGTGCTGCCAGCTAGAGAGATCTGGCTGAGTCAAATTCAATAGATATTTATTGAGTGTCCACTATGTGCCAGACACTGTGGATATAGCACATAAATGCGACGTGCTCACAGAACTGACGGTCTCTCAGGAGGCGCCAGCGTCTACACGGCCACCTTGCGATAGAAGATCAAGTGCTATTCCAGCATTGATCTAGGCATCACGAGGAATGACTGAAAAATCGGGCCCCCCCGAATGCACGCACGATGGTTGGAGATGTTGATGAGTAACTCTGCATCTGCTTGATGGAGTATTCAGTGGCAATTAAAGATAATTATGACAACTTCACAAAACATGAAAATTGTTTATGGTATCTAAAAATGGCCCTATACAAAATTGTGCGTTGACTATGAGGACAAGTAGATAAAATATGTATTCACTGTGACAAAGACAGGAAGAAACAGGAAAATGAAAACAGCTGTGTTTTATGGTCTCTAATTATGAGGAATTTTTAAAAATTTTCTTTTCAAAATGCCCATTAATGTTTCAGAATTGGTTTTTATAACAAATAAACTGTGATAGGAGGTTGGGGTAGGCACATGGAGCTGAGCCATTGTCGAGTTTTTCTGCTTCCGTTTTGCTGGGAGCTGGGGCTGGCTTTACTTCTTGGAAAAGTGTTGCGACATGTCTGGGCCTTTAAGGAGTAGAAAGGACAGGCCGTTGATGCGAGCGGGGGAAACTTCTCAAACGTCAGACTTGCCGTTGTCTAATAGTGAGATTCACTGACTGAGCACCTTCTAGACGCCAGGCACTGGGCCTCCTGTCTTCAGGCGGTGAAGCCCAGCGGAAAGCACGTGGGCCCTGGAGCCGGACTGTCCAGGTTCAAATCCCGGCTCTGCCGTTTACTAGATTGCCATAGTGCCTGCTTCATAGAATTATTGTGCTGATTTAATGAGTTGAGTGTAGATAAAATGCTTTCAACAGTGCCTGGCGTATTTCTGAGTTTAAGTGCTAGCTGTACTTATGGCCCTGCAAGGTGGGAATTATTATCCCCGTTTCACAGAGGAGGTAACCGAGGTTTAGAGAAGTTAAGCGACTTGTCCAAGGTCACACAGCCAGTTGAGAAGCAGATCCAAGTTCAAGCCTGGGCCTCCCTGAGCCCAGACGTCCTCTTCTTTCTGCTCTACCAAGCCGCACACATCGGCGCTTGGTTAGGGGACAAGGGGCGTGTGTGCTTGTAGACTTAACCAAAGAGCTCTTCTCCTCGGTGGACAAGCGTCTGCCTCTCTGACTGCCCCCCGGTTTTAAGGGGGTTGCCCATGGAGCAGTGAGGTGGGAAGAAACCTTGGCCATCCAAACAGGGTGGATCTGAGGCCAGCAGGTCGCCCTCAGCCCTCCCTCGAGGTGGACTCCTTCCCGGTATTGTCCAGGGGTTAGAGAGATTCGCTCAGCGGTCCCCCCTTTTCCACAGAACATCTGTCAGGCGTTGGGGGAATGCTGGGTGTTGTAGTTCCCTTTCATCTCTGAGGGTTGTGCCTGACGAAACCAGCAGCATAGACTCCGGGAGCCCGCCAGGGTCTCCCGGTCCCGCCTGTCTCCGGGGCCCCCGCTGACCGCCCTGCTTGCGGCTCTCTGCAGCTGGTGGAGATCATCCTGTTCTGCCTGCTGCTGTACTTCTACAAGGAGAGGAACGCCAACAGCATCGCGGTGATTCTGCTCCTGGTGGCGCTGCTCGGTAAGCGGGGGTCCGGTGATGAGCGTTTGCCACCACCAAGTGGCACCACAAGGAAACGTGGGTGTCGTTTACAGAGCTGTGGCCTTGGGACCCAGAAGCGCTTGAGGCCCGCTCAGGTTGGTCCGTCCCCTGCGGCGGCTGCAGGAGCTGGGTCCCTGCTGACCGCAGGCGGCTCCCGCCGGTCCCGTCACACTGCTGACCGCACTCGGCGTTCTTGCTCAGATCCCGAGTCTCCTAAGGGCCGGGAGTGGTGCTGGACACCGGCTGTGCGGTGAACAAGACAGAGCCCGGCCTCGGGTGCCGCCATTCCAAAGGGAGCAAACGGCAGCAAACAAGTAGGCAGATACACAGATAATCTAAGTTCGGGCAACAACTAAGAGAAGAAGAAGAAAGCAGAGTGAGGGTGAGGTGGGTTAAGAGGTCATTTCAGAGAAGTCAGAGCAACTTCCCACAACTGAGTCCTTCAGGGTCCGTGTAAAACCTATCAGGTTAGGAATTCATTCTGGATTCAAAGGCAAGAATTAATTTCTCTCTCTCTCTTTTTTTTTTCTTTCCTTTTAGAGATAGGGGTGCAATGGGGGAAATGGCTCCTAAATCAATTGAGGCAAGGCTCTAACCCCGCAGAGAGTTTGATATACTAAATAGAGCTGTGAGAAATACCTGTTCTTCCTGAAGGAGACGTGGAGGCGGTGGGGGTGACCCCCCACTGCTGCCTCCTAGTGACTCTCCCCCTTTAAGCCACACTGTCCTCTAAAAGGGGCAGAAGAGAGCACCCGGATCTCAGGGGGAGAGGGGATTAAATGTGATGAGCACAAGGGCCCAATATGTGTCATTTCCCTTCTGTCCTTCCCACCTCGAGCCCCCACTCCAGCAATCGGCCATAAACCACAGAGTTATGTGTCACCATAGGACACAGTGCCATCATTTTGTTTTCAAAAACAGCTTTATTGAGATATAATTTTCATACCATAAAGTTCACCTGTTTAAAGTGTACAATTCAGTGGTTTTTAGTATATTCACGGAGTGTGCGACCATCATCATAATTGAATTCTAGAACATTTTTGTCACCCCAGAAAGAAACCCTGTGCCTATTAGCAGTCACTCCGCATTCCTGCCTCCTCCCAGCCCCTGGCCAACCACTCGTCTACTTTCTATCTCTATAAATTTGCCTTTCTGGACATAGGATATAAAAGGAATCACACTACGTGGCCTTTTGTGACTGGCTTCTTTCACTGAGCATGTTTTCAAAGTTCATCCCTGCTGTCGCATGAATCAGTAGTCCGTTCCTTGATGATCCTGTTTTCAAAGTGGACTGGAAGATCACAGTCCCAAAAAGTTCTCTCCTGGCGAGTAGGAAGGCCAGAAGGTTCTGAGGCACACTGGCCATTCCCCTTCTGTCCCCTTCTCACTAACAAGGGCAGCCTGATGAAAATGCTTGCCTTAACTGGCCGGCCATGTTTGAAAACTGTAGTCTAAGTGGCTGAGGGGCCCAGATGTCGCTGTGTGTGACGGGCTGTTGGTAGGAGAAGGCAACATGAGCAGAAGTTGAGAAAAATAGGAAAGCAGAGCATTTCGGCCAGAACAACGGGCTTCATTTGTACCATTCTTGGGAGTTGTTTCTTTGAACTGCTGCTTTGGCATGGGGATCAGACAGTTTAGAGTTAGAAGTCATTTCTGCACCACCAGGTGAAGCAGTGGTCTCCGTAGTGAGGTGACCAAGATGGCCCACTGGGTGTGTGGGAAGAAAATATTAGAACTGATATTTTTACCTCCACCTTTTAGGTGATTCTTCCTGCACATTTTATAATGTACATATCATATAAGCCCAGTGTTACACGACTATAATTTTAAAATAAATAAACATATTTGAAAAGTATGTGCATATGCATAGGGGTATGCATTCCAAGCATTTGGAGACCTCTGGTCTAAAGACGTGTTTTTAAAAATATAAATGAGTAAGCATTAAAAAAAAAAAAAAAAACTCTTGAGCTCTTTACAGGCCATGTTTTCCTGTGATTGCCATGAGAATGATACTCACAGGAGGTTAACATATCCATTCAAAGATTGTTTTGGCCTCCCAACATGTTCCAGGCACAGCGCTGCCACTCTGGGGTCCAGAGACTGGAACTCAGTGCCCTTTCTTGGTGGAGTTTAGAAGTGACATTTGGAAATACCTGTCGGAGTTTTGCTTTCCTCTCTTCCTTCACGGGAGAGGCACAAGAGATCTGATGCAAACAGCGTCTTCTCACCGTGAAAACCACTGCGTTGGCTCTGCCAGTGTTCCCTCCATCTTTTTCACCAAGTCCTTTGGGGTTATAAACTGACTTTCAGGGTCTGACTCCCTCCCTCCCCCTGAGGCTCCCACACATCCTTGTCACCTTCTGCAGGCTCGATGACAGTGGTGACGGTGAAGGCTGTGGCCGGGATGCTTGTGTTGTCCATACAGGGGAACCTGCAGCTCGACTACCCCATCTTCTACGTGATGTTCGTGTGCATGGTGGCGACTGCCGTCTATCAAGCTGTGTGAGTTACAGATCCTTTTCCTGCTGGGTCTCGCCACGTGGGTCTCTTCTGTTTTCCAGGCCTGATTACACTTGGAAAGGCAGAACATTCAAATGCAGCCTGTCGCCAGGGTTTGGCATCCACTGTGGAGAGAGAGGGGTTGCTAATTTGCTGCGTTGTCACGTGGAGGGCTCTGTGAATGACGCTTGAAAGACGAAGCCTGGAGTGGACGTGTTTTTTCGCTCTGCCTCAAAATATGAGAAATACGTGCTCAGAGGCAGCCTCACTTCCCACCTGCTCCAAGGCAGGCGTCCGTCTCAGGGACTTCAGAAGAAGCTGTGTGTCCCCATGAGGCACCAGTTTGTCTGCTAGATAGAAAACAGAAAGTTGTCATTTCTTGTCCTCAAGAAATCTTCCCAAGTAGAAGAGTGAGGTCATCGTTTCTCTCTCAGGAGCAGAAGTGCTGAGGGTAGGCCTGGGCCTTGTTCCCGTCTGAGCCCCGGTGCCCAGCAGAGGGCCTGGGAGGGCATGTGAGAGTCCTGCGTGGGGACGGGAGGTGAACTGTGCAGGTTTCAGTGTGGTACGTGAGGCTGGTTCGCCCTGGGCAGCTCAGGCCCCGGACTCCGGCAGCCTGGCTCACCGTCCACCAGCAGTGGCCTTGAGGGGATGGTAGGAATGACCACTACTGAGCAGGTGCCCGGTGCAAGCCGGCTCTACTGTCACTGCTTTCACAGAAATTTGTGAATCCATTTCATCCCCACAACACCCCTTCGAGGCAGATGATAGTATCCTCATTTTGCACGTGGGGAACTGCAACAAAGCGAGGTTAAGGGGCCAGGAAGTAGGGAACTGAGATTTGAACCCAGGGGTCTGGCTCCCCAGCCCACGACACCTTCCCCTCAGCCTCTCTAAGACACAGATTCCTCATCCGCAAATGAGAATAACAACAGGCCCTACCTAAGAGAGTCACAGAAAGCTCTCCGCACAGTCCCCAGGATAACATCCAGTAAAGATCGGCTTCTTTTATGAGGATTATTACCATTGCTGTGTCCATTCTTACTATTCTCTGTCCTCCTGCAACAATTCCAGTCGTCACCGCTGAGCGTCTGCCACGTGCAAGGCTCTGTGCGCTCCAGGAGCTACAAGACGAGTCAGATGCCCAGCCCACTCCTGGGGAGTTTCTCGCTCACCAAGTCAGAACACATCCACTGAGGGCCTACTGTGTGCCAGGCCTGTGCTGGGCCTCCCCACACAGAGACGTGACAGTAGTCACTGTCTTCCAGGTGCTCACAGCCCCGGTGAGGGGACAGCCCGGTAAGCAGGTGATTACACCTGAGTGGGCAGTGTGTTACGGTGTAAGCAACTCTGCAGTAACTAAAATACCACGCAGAGAGTGGACAAGGGATATGTTCCAAAGTGATGGAGTGTTTATCCTAGGTGGAATGATTTGGAATGACTCTAATTTTCTCTCTTTTTCCTGTATTTATTGCAGTGAGCACATTATTTTTGAGTTAAGAAGAAAATTTGTTTAAAAAACTAATTGCAATGATAGGCAAAACGTGATCAGTGCTCTAAGAGTTTCTTGGAGTGTTTAAGAGAGCGGGAGTGGCTCTCTTTAGTGGGGTGGGGATGCAGGGGACACAGAGGTGAGGAGAAGGGATTTCCCGTGATGAGAACCGTGTGGTTAAAGCTGTGAGACCGGGAGTGCACGGCCCACTGGGGGGGTGGGGACAGGCCTCAGGCTGTGTGTCTAGGGGAAGAATGGGAGCAAAGCCTGGACCCCAGACCCAGAGATACACAAGGATGGCATCTTTATGAACCAAAGGAAAGTGCGTCGTCTTCATACTTCAAACCAGTCCCCTGTCATCAGCTTTCACCTCAGACTTCCCAGCATCCCCACAGCCCGCTGACTGGAGTGCTTTTGTGTTGAAGGTTTTTAAGTCAAGCCTCGCAGATGTACGACTCCTCTTTGATTGCCAGTGTGGGCTACATTCTCTCCACTACTGTCGCTATCACAGCAGGTAAGGGTGGCCGATCGCTAGGTTTCTGTCTTCTACCTTAGCAGCCTACGTTACCCCAGCGTGGAGGGCGGAGGCTCCCTCTCTGTCAGAAGGCCAAGTCCACTGACTTGTTCTGTCCATTGGAGATGCGTATGGTTTCATGGAGAAAGTACAAGATTTAGAGCCAGAGAGATCTGAGTTTGCGTCCCAGCACAGACACAGAGCTGAGTGGCTCTGGGAAAATCACTTAACCTCTCTGAGCCTCGGTTCCACATTCATAAAATGGGAGTAATAACACTTACCTCCTAGAATTGAAATATGTACAATCCAAACGTCCCCTACTTTGTATTGCAAGGTTTCTTTGATGATTTTTGTCGTCATCTGCTAGCTCCACAACCTCCGTTGGCCAAGTGAACACAAATTTCTTCTATATGATTTTTAGAGATCACGAGCATATGAAGTGTCTGTATCATAACAGGTGCTCGATAAGCCATCATTATTATTTATGCCCCTTTTCTTCTACCCCACCTCCAAATTTTTTTTTTCTTTTTCTTTCTGAGGTGGCTTCAGGGGCTGCAAGTCTATCAGTTTATGTTTGTTTGTTTTTTAAGTGGCGATGGTGACTAAAATCTTCAAAGTATAAAGGCCAATAAGAACGAATGTGCCTGGCCTGGCCGTAAAGCCATATGCTTTGTCCTGCATTTCAGAGAAGTGGTGCCCAAATCCTGCTCGCAGAGGTGGGAACAAGCAGGGCACACAGCCTGCCAGGGCCTGTGCTGTGAGCAGCACCAGGAGTTGAGTGGGGCATTGACCCAGAGCAGCCGGAAACCTAATGCAAAGATTTGAGTCGTGGTCAAGAACTTTGGTCCAGTCGAGGTGAAAAGGAATAGCAGACACCAAGGTTGAGTCAGAAACAGAAGTCGAGGCAAGGAGTCAGGAGCTCAGGAGTACAGCATGAAGCCTGTGGAGGTTAAATGACCTAGACAGACTGGCTGCAGGGTGAGGGTGGCAGGCCCAGGTCACTCCCACGCCGTAGGCGTAGACCTGCGGGCTTGACATCTGCCGGCCACGTGAGGTTAGAAAGCTCTGACAGCTTAAAATGAAGCCTTGTTCATCCATCTTAAGAAAGATGGGGGAAAGGAGTGTGTGTGAAGGCTGGTGGATAAGGTCTGCAGCTTACTTCATAGTATTGTTTCTTTGGGGGAAGCTGGGTGAAGGGTATATAGGAATTCTGTACTGTATTTGAGAGTCTAATATTATCTCAAAATAAAAACTTGAGAAAAAATAGATGGAGATAAGAGGGGCCTGGGAGGGGGAGAAAGAGAAGACAATCTGTTCCCCTAAATGGCTTTTATTCCATTCCTCTAATATTTTACTAGGCGCAGGCATAAGATTTTTTGGTCGCTTTGGTTTCCTGCAGGAAAGAGAGCTTAGCCCAATCCCAGGCAGACTGGCAAGTAGATTTGAAAACAGCTCACCCATGTCTCCTGTGATTTGCGGCCACAGGTGCAGTGTTTTACCTGGACTTCCTCGGGGAAGACGTGCTGCACATCTGCATGTTTGCGCTGGGGTGAGTTCCGCCTGCTCTCTGGCCCCGGGCATTGTGTGTAGAATTCAGGCAGCTGCCTCTCTCCCCGCATTATTACTTCAGCCTCTCAGGCAATCCTTTAGAGCCAGTGGAGCCGCTGGGATTGGAGCTTTGTCCCTGGAGGTGAGCATTTACCCCAAAGGGCTTTATCTCCTTCCCCTTTCTTCTCTTTTGGGCTTTAATTTCCTTGTCATTTCTAAAATATCACATTTTGACTCATGAAAAGACACTCGACCTCATCTCAGATCAAAGAAACGCATATTGAAACTACATGAGACACCATCATTTTGCAAAAACTAACAGGATTGATAATATTCCAAAATGGCAAGAGGATGAGAAGACCAGCTCTCTGCCACACTGTGAGAAATTCTTTAATGCGGGAGGACAATTTGGCAATATCAATAAAAATTTTAAATGAGACTACTTTTTGATGCACCATTCCATTTCTAATCATTTATCTTAGAAAAATCATTGAAATGGGACACAGACACATGTATGAGGCTATTTATTAATTTTAAAATTAATCGTGTAAGCAAATAATTGGAAGCAACCTAAATGCCCAGTGGTAGAACACAGGTTAAATAAATTATGGTGTATCCCTATAATAAAGCGCCATGCTGCCATTTTGAAAAATTGAGGCCAGTCGTTAGGTGCTGGCATGGAACCAAGTGTAGGATGCATTAAATGGAAAAAGTTACATATTTTTATGTTTATTCTACCCTATGATCCAGCAGTTCCACATCTAGATATATACCCACAAGGAATGAGCACATATATCGACAAAATGACTTGTACATGAAAATTTATGGTTAGCTTGATTCATAATATGCCCAAATTGGATACAACCCAAATGTCTTATCAACAGGAGAGTGAAAAACAAATGGTAGTATATTCAGACAATGGATTCAACACAACAGTTAAAAATAATGAACTACTAATACACACAATAAAGTGGATGAATCTTAAAAACGTTTATCGAGTGAAAGAAACCAGACATAGAAGAGAAACCATTGCATGTCTGAACTCACAAGAAGTTCAACAACAGGCAGATCGAATCTGTGGCGTCCTCTGGGGAAGGGTGAGCGTGATTGGGAAGGGGCACAAGGAAACGTTCTGGGATGGAGGGGATGGAAATGTCTTCTCCACTGATCTGGGTGGTGGTCACACAAGTGAATACACAGGTAAATTCATCCAGCTTTATATTTAGGATTTGTGCATTTTACTGCATGTAAATTATACCTCAATTTTTAGAAAGTGTGCTTGTTTATCTAAGCTCTAGGGAAAGGAAAAAGACACAAAAAAGATTCTGGAAGAATATATGCCTACCTGGGGGAAGTACAGGGCCTTTCCAATTGTTACTTTCTCTACTCCTGTATTAAATTTAGGCCATAAAGAATTTTTTTAATTAAAAAAAAAAGAAACCTTTTTAAAGGCAAGGTTCTGAGATGCGGGCTAAGTGGAAGTGAAGAACCACGCGAGTTTAGCCCAGGAGAGTCTGATTTACTCAGATGAAGGTTTGTGTGGAGTGGAGGGCGTGTGGGCTGCACTACCTGTTATTATTCATCTCGAGTCTGCTCCCTGCTGACCTCAGGCCCAGCGGCCTCTCCTGCTCACCAGCGAGCCCCCCGCTGCAGCCTCAAGCCCTCTTTTTACCTTTTTCCCGTGGCCTGGGTTTGAAAGTCTCCCTCCCCACCTCACTCCGGCCTTACTTCTCTTCCTCCCTTCTCTCTCTTCCTCAGGTGCCTCATCGCATTCTTGGGCGTCTTCTTAATCACACGGAACAGGAAGAAGTCCATTCCATTTGAGCCCTATATTTCCATGGATGCCATGCCAGGTAACGCTCAAACCCCATGTGTCCTGCTCGCCAGCCCATCCATACAGAGTGACTGCTACTTCCTGTTTAAAAAGAGGCAACCAGCCGCGGAGTTTGGTCCAGGGAAGGTGTGCTGTGCCGTTATGGTGTGACTGTCTTTTTTCTTTTAATCTCCACGTGCAAAAGAGGAGGCAATGGCTGAGGCGCCTCAGTTGGTTTTGAGCACATCTTGCCTGTTCCCATGTCTGGTGTCGGGTCCTTTAAAGATGATCCTGATTCACACTGGATATAATGATGATCGGCAGCACCAGGCTTCATGTCTGCAAAAGGAATTCATTGAGTTGGAGTGGAATGATCAGAGAGGGGAGGGAAAATAGGATGAATGAAATTCAGATATTATAATCTTATTCCCTAGATTCCACAAAGGAGTGGATTGTTCTGGAAAGCCTAATTTCCCAGGGAGCTGAGGGTTCACACTGAGAAGCACAAGTTCAAAGGCCTTTAAGCCATGACAGTAATGTAAATGTGTGAATCAGCCGAGTGCTGCACAATAGGGAGTGGTGGGGCCTGTGGAGAACTGGAGAGTGCCTGTCCAGCCTAAAGGGATTCAGATTAGAAAAATTAAGACATGGGACCTGCCCATCTAGGTTTACTGACCTAAATTCTATAGGGTGCCAGTGATCACCAGCTTTCACTCTTTAACTCACAATTAATTTTTATTTTTGACACATAAGATGAAACTCCCTCCAAAACAGAATCTCTCACCCTTCATTAAGACAGTCTCATGAACAACATATACTCACATTGATGGCATAGAGTGCTGCCTAATAACTTTATTAATAACTCTGTAATGCAGATGTGTTCTCAGGGCTGACTGAGGTGCCCCTACTTTAAATGGCCCCAGGGTTTGTGTGTCTACTTTTTATATTATTTCCTCATCTCTTGCTATAAAGCTATTGTCTGTCATTCTTGTTGTTACCAGCCTGCCTGTGTATAGCAACTCGGTGTCAATCTTCTCATTTGACCCAACTTGTTCGAATTGTGTATAAAAGTAAAATAAATAAGCTCTGAGTTGGGACCTTAAGGTTTCTCCTCAGAGTTAAGTGCATGAGCTCTAGTGCATGGACTTTTTAAACATCTAATCTGGCTGCTCAGATGCCTTTTTTGCTTACTTCCTTGTTTCTCGGCTGTGTTCCGGATAGATGAGGGCGCTGGATAGCTGAATTCCAGATAGGTGAGGTGTCAACTCTTGTGTGTGTGCTAGTATGTGTATGTATATGTGTGTTTGTGTGTTAATGAACTGTGTATGTGTATATATCTATATAAGTATTTGTATATGCATATATATAGTTGTATTTTCTGGTAGAAAATAGAAGGTAACCTAAGGTAATCTTAGATATCAACATGCCGTGGTCTGTTTGTGGATGTGGCTCTCGCTTCCTCTTTGTCCACTGTGACCAGTGGGAAGTCAGATGTTGAAGAAAGGAGACCTTGCCCTGTTGCTGTGGCATGTCAGGACCCTTCTGAGCAGACTTGTGTTCTGTACTATGAAGAGCATGGGCTTGGAGTTCAGATGGCCTGGATTCAAATCCCAGCTCTCCCGCCTAGCCGCTGTGTGACCCTGGGCACCTGTCTGGCTCTCCCAAGGCCTCTGACCCTCACTTGTAATTGGGATTCCTTCTTTCAGAGGAGTGGATAATATGTAAAGACCCCTTTCACAGTGTCTGGGACATGGTAGATGCCTGGTTAAATTTGGTTTCACTTCCCTTTTCTTTAAAAAACTTTGAAAATGTCAAACACTTGTTTGACCTGATGACAGGTAGAACATGAAGAATAAAACTGCTTGGACAGAGTTGCTCTTCTAGCTACTTGGTCTCCCTGGTTGGCATCAGGACCTTGCTTTTGCTTTACCTAGATTCGTATCTTTACAACAGACCAGTAGCTACTGTGCAGGAGGCATTCAGATTCCAAAAATTCACTACCTATTAAGTAATTCTGGCACCTGTAAGACTTCTAAAAGATGAGGGCGAGAAGAGCAGGCCCGATGGTTAGGAGCTGGCGGGGCGCTCACAGCTGGGCCTTGGTGTCCCTGGCTGAACATTAACAATTTCACAGAATATCAACATCAGACAAGGCCACTCTGTGACCGTGATGGATCAAGATACAAACAGGACCGCTCAGTTAGCATGTCTGAACACAGACAAAACATGAACGTTGTCCAGACAACAAAAAGGACCAGCCATCCCCCTGACGTGAGTGACAGCTGCTGCTTTACCAATCTCAGCCAGCCTCCATCTAGCCGTCTCCCCTTCCAGATTATTAAGATCCCCAGTTACAGAATGATCCCCGCTTCCTGACAGCATCTAATTCAAAGCAAAGCCCTGCTTCCTTAAACCCTCCCCAAAATCACCTCACACTAGCCCAAATCCTATGTTAGTCTTTTCTAACACCCTCTTACTGAGGCACCCCACACTTCTCCATGGTGTCCATCTCCCTCATTGCAAGGACTCCATAAACCCAAATTTGTTAGACTGTAGGTGTGTTCCTGGTGGTCTTTGGCTGGAGAGCATTGACCAAAAGCTAAGCCATGCCCGGAAAGCCAACTCTCTTCCCTGAGGAGCAGGCACCCCTCATCCTCTTCCAACCCCCACCCCGAAAAGTCCAAACCAGAGACTCTTAAACTATACCCTTCAAATGACCATCAGCTAAGGCTTGTGCAATGTGGAAGCAAAGGGACTTCCTCATGCTGGGTCTTCCCAGGCCATTTGCAAAGTGGAGAAGAGCATGAGCTTTAGTGTCAGATCCCAGCTCTGTTTCTCATTAGCTGTGTGACCTTGGACAAGTTTCTACACCTCTCTGAATCTCTGTTTTCTTATGCAGAAAATGAGGACAGTAGTATATCTCTGTCATAGGATTTGGGGGGATTAAATACAGGTGTATAGGAAGGCCACAGCATTCCAGTTAAGAATGTGGGCTTCAGAGCTTAAACCACCCAAGTTTGAACCCTGGCACTGCCACTTACTGTGACGTCAAGCAAGTTACTTAACCTCCAACTGCCTCTTTTTCCTTATTGGGAGTTGTGAGGATCAAATGCAATAAGACTTAGATAACTGTTCAGAACAGTGCCTGCCACCAACGGAACATTCAGTCCACGTTAGCTATTACCATTATTGCTGTTGTTACTATCACTATTTAGAGCACTCGGCCCTGTACCCAGGGCATAGGGAGCAGGCAGATGTCGGCTGCTATTATCATCATAGTTCCATGGAAGACACTTTGCATTCAATGTCTTAGGACTCAGCCTGGGGGCCAGAGAATTTGAGGGGTCTTAATTCCCTGCCTGGAAAAGAGTTGGCCTCAGAGAAGACCATGTCCTGCCTGATGAGGAGAATTGTAGAATAAGGTTAAAGGAATTGATGGTGAAAGTCTTAGCCCTCAAATGTAGGTAGACATCCAATATCAGTGTGCCCAGAAGTAATAAGCAAAATCGCACTTTACCCTGTATGTGGATCAGGGATGTTAATGTTAAAGGTAGAAACTCTCCCTCTGAGCATTGTGATGCATCTGTCACCATCACGTGTCTGTGACACAAAATTTACCCTCTTCTCAACAGCGTAATGAAGTTTTCTGGATCTTGATTTCATTCAGCAGAAAAGTGTTGGCATCTACCACGTTCACAGCACAGCGCTGGTTCCACTCTCCCTGTGGCCCAAACAGACATTCCCACCTCCTTCCGGGCCAACCGATGGTTTCTCTCGACAGTGGCTGGTCTGGGTGCATATTTCCTGAAGATTCATGCCTGGTTGCTTAGCAACTGTAATAGTTCTGGTGTATATTTATGTGTGTTCTTTTTTCAATCTAAAGCATTCAGGAAATTGACAATGCACATGATTAGCTCCCAAGCACTATAATTAGTGTGGGTGGGATGGAGGAAGATACAGCCTCCTTTGGCCCCCTTACCACATAATGATTTGGGGAAAATGGATTTCATTTCAGGTATGCAAAACATGCATGACAAGGGGATGACAGTCCAGCCTGACCTCAAAGCTTCTTTCTCCTACGGGGCCCTGGAAAACAATGACAACATTTCTGAGATCTACACTCCTGCCACGCTGCCCATCATGCAAGAGGAACACGGCTCCAGAAGCGCCTCTGGGGTTCCCTACCGAGTCCTGGAACACACCAAGAAGGAGTGAGCCCCCCTTGAAGGAGATTCACCTTCCTCCATTTATAGCTGCTCAGGCCATGCTGACCGTGGTTCAACCCTTGATTCTAAAACTTGCCTTTTAAGTCTTATTTTTTTTAACTGAGAACTCTATGGATGGGGATCTTGAAAAGCCTTTGCTGTGGCAAAGGATGTGTTATCTTGGTCTTGGAAATTTCAAATGTTGGGGCTGGGGGTTGCGGGGATGGAGGCAGTATTCCAGGTGGGTGGTACGGAATGCAGCCTCTGCCTGGGTTAGCCTGGCTGGATTTGGAAAGCCTTTATCATCCTCGAGGATGTAGCTGAGCTTCCTCAGTCAGTGACCCAAGGTTGCCACATTCTTCAGAGCTAAAGCAAGGCAGAGATTCTGCTTTTCCTTTCCAAATCCAGTGACAGGCTGGAGACCTCTAAGTCTAGTCTTCCCCCACCTCACGTGCAGGCCGGATCTCTTCCCATCTCACTCATGATTCCCTGTTTGCGATAACGTTTGTGTCGCTCTCCCATGGCAGAGTGGGCCAGCCCTGGTGGAACGTTCTGTCATTCGCCTGTAGGGAAATGCACTTTGCCTTCCAATTGTCTGTGTCCCTCCAGTGAAAATGTGCTTGATGTGTTTATATTGGATCTACTCTGCAAACTAATTTGTTTTTGGTTCTGTGAACTACATGATTGCTTTTTCTTCCCCCAAAGGAACTGGGAAGTTAAAAGAAGGGGGAGAATAAAAAGGACAGAGGCAGGGGTGATGATACCTCAGCCCATAAAGGAAGAAAAATCCCTTTTCATCTTCTAGAAGGTGACTGCATCACTTATAAGAGGAGAGAGAGAAAATCTGCATGTTTTCTGTGTGTTTTCCTGCACGCCAGTGCCCTCTGGGAAGATGGGGGGCGGTGCTCATTTCAGAGACAGCCTCGCTCATCTCTCCTCCATCCTCTCCTTTGTAGAGCGACAAACCAAGCTTGAATGATGGCTTAATTTCCCTGGAGTGGATGGGGACTCTGGGTCCTCCTCCCTAGGGCACGTCTGGGAGAAGCAAGCATTCTCAGAAATGGGGCTGCTGCTTTCCTTCTGGCTACGTGCATGATTGTCTTCCCCCAGACCCACTGTATGCTTTTGAGAATGGCAGGTAAAGGTTTGCAAACTTGAACGAGCATAAGGATCCCCTAGGGAGTTTATGTGAAATGCAAATGCCTATACCCCAACCATAAATACTCTGATTAAATGGGACTGGGGTGAGGCCCAGGAGTCTGCATGCTTAACTGGCAGCACGGGTGCTTCTGATGCAGGTAATCCAAGGATCACACACCTTGCACGCCTAATAATGGAAAGAGATGGACTGCTAAAACCCCTGGGGGCCCACGCACACCTGCGGGAAAGTTGAAATTACTATTTCTTGTTTCCTCCTTGGGGTTCTTTCGGCAGGTTGAATAATCCCCTTAGGATCCGTGGCATTTCTCCATCCAGTGATTACTACTTAAAACTACGCTTACTGCTTCCCTAGGCAGCCGTTAATAGGCAGGATAACAGTGTTAATAGACCAGTGTTGATAGATCATTAACTTTTATGGATTGTGCTTAATCCTGATTTAGTACCTTGACTTCAAAAACTGACATCTGTTGCCTGTGATAACTACTTCTGTATTGTGTCTTAACCACTTCCGTATTGTGTCTCCCATGCCTAAGAAGGCAACCGACAGTGACCTTTTTTCCTTTAGGACAGATATCAGCGTAGTTCAATGATATTTATGAGGGGTTTACTATGTCTTAATCATTTGGATGGTGAGGGCTACAAAGAGTAAGACGTGGTTCCTGCCCTCCAGGCAACACAAATAGCCAGGAAACTATGGCGGGGCCGACTGAGTGCGATAGCCGCCACAGAAAGTGACAGTTGTGAGGCCCTGTTCAAGGTCAGGCCCGAGCCCAGAGTCGGGTTTTCGGAATTGGAGATGATTTGGGCCCCACTCATTGATAGGTGGTAAATCTAGCTAGATTTGAGCAAAGCGTAGAAAGTAGAGTGATCACCCCCCAGGCAGAGGGGCCAGCATTTGCAAAGACACAGAGATAGGGAGGGGGAGACGGCAAAGAAAGGAGAGCCAGGGAAGGTGGTGGGAGATGAGGCTGGAAAGATAAGCAGTGGAGGCCAAATCCTGGAGGGCCTTAAATGCCTGGCCAAAGAGTTTAAAGTGTATCCTAGAGGACACGGGAGCCGTTGATGGTTCATGAAGAAGAGAATGACAGGATCAGCCCTGATTGGAAAGGAGACCTTATGCAGTGTGGAGGAAGAATCTGAGGGATAATAATTCACTTTTCACAGTCAAGCTGCAAGTCTGTAAGAAAAAAACACAAAAGGGGAATTACAATCCAGCTTCACTGCTATTCAGATTTTCCAGGTGATTTTTCTAAGGTGGGCGGGGTGGGGTGTGAGGGCAGAGTGGATGAAGGGAAGGTGAGCGGGGAGGCCATTTATGTTCAAACCCAGGTGATCAGTTGGCATATTATGTGCTCCCAACCTTACTCTGCCCCCTTCCCTTTTTCTGTTGTGGGCCTTTTAGCCTCGAGCCAGTGGAGAATGAGACGAGTGGATAAAAGTGCAGGTCTGCTGAAAATCATGGGTTTAATGCCACCGAGGCACCGCTGCTGGGGCCTGGGCAGCCCTTCTGCCTTCAGGTTTGGGGCAATGGCGTCGTCCTAGGAAGCTGAGCTACAGGAAGGCTGAGCAGAGAGCTGCATGGTGGTTTCCTGAGTGGAAGGCGGGGGCGGGTCACCTGGGTGCTCAAAGAGTAGCTGGTGTGGGGCTACGGTCTCCAGAATTCTGCCTCTGTCTTGGGCTAGCTTCTCCCAGTCTTTGCCCCCAGGTGTAAATGGACTGTTTGCTGGTGGCAGGTACGCAGCACTTGCTGTTAGGACAGGAGTGGAGGAGGGTGTCCACTTTCCACTCTCAGCCCTGATCTTTATTTTTCCTCGTGGCTCTGACACCGCCAAGCCCTCTCGAATGCTCCAAGCAACATTAAATGTCACCCCTCCATCCTTCCTAGCAGCCAGTACCTAAAGCAAGGTCACCAAACTTGGGTTTAAACTTTCCAGTTGTTCTCTGGTCTTCCTCTCCCCATCCCACTCTGTGCCCCTCTGGAGAGGCTGCGACTTGGGGTTTCCTGATCAGACATTAGCACCAGTTCTTCACAGACTGGTGCCTGTGGGTTTTGACAAGAGCTCCACCCGCTCCTCCCCCTGACCCCTCCCGTGAAGCTGCAGGTCTGATGCCATCACATTAGGCTTCAGGTCCTGTGGGGGTTTGCAGAGAGGAACTGAATGCTGAGTGAGGAAGGGAGGACTGACACCTCCACTGCTCTTCTGGTGGAAACTGGCCAGCTGGACGGTGCTGTGTGGATACAAGCCATCCGTCAGGGTAGTGTTGGGGCACCTTCACCCTGCAGCCTTGTGAATTCCAAATCTGGCTCAACCCCGGCGGAGAGGCAAAAAAATGTACTGTGTGTTTCCGAGAAGCTATGTAAATGAAGTCACCTTAGAATATATATTCTATGTGGATGCTTATATTTTGTTAACTTTGTGACTAATATGGCATGTCTTATTTTTCAAAAAATGTGTGTGCTAGTTGCAAATAACATTATGAAGTGGTATTTAATTAAAAAAAAATCTATGTGCTACCTACTGAGTTTGTCTTATTGTTGGCTAACACTTTCTAGAGTTGTCTAGAACAGCACTGTCCAATAGAACTTTCTGCCATGATAGAAATGTTCTATGTGTGCTGCCCAACCCGGCAGCCACTATCGACATGTGGCTATTGAGCACTTTCAGTGTGGTGAGTGCGACCTAGGAACTGGATTTTTTGTTTTATTTAAGTTTAATTAATTGAATTTAAATATCCACACATAACTAGTGGCTGCTGTACTGACAATACAGATCTAGAGATGCCCATGAATGCAGTTAAGGCTGAATTAAAGCATTTTCCCCCCTACAGTGGTTAAGAGCATAGACCCTGGCCATACTGCTTAGGTTTGATTCCTGGCTCCACCACTTATTAACTGTGTGGCATTGGGCAAGTTACTTAAACTCTCTGTGCCTCATCTGGGAAACACAAATAATAACAGTATCTACCTAAGGGTTATTGTGAGGATCAGATGAGTTAATAGATGTAAAGTCTTGGAACTATGTCCAGCATCCCATCAGGAAGTTATATTATATTGAAGGAATGGTTTCTCTGTTTATTTACTTATTCATTTTTAAATTATATAATGAATGCTTGTGATTTTTCTTAATTAAGCAATTCTAAGCACACATGTCTCTCTTCATTCTAAGTTTCCAATCTACAAAGGCAGGTGTGACATTGCCTAAATATTTATTTATACACACATACACAGAGTCATATATTTACTCATACATTTAGTAAGCACTTATTATATGCCACATACTATATTTAGACATCATATACATCTCAATTCACCTTTATAACAAGTCCATGAGCTAAGTTTTAATATTATCCCCATTTTGCAGATGAAGAAACTGAGACTCAGGTCACATAGCTGATAAACAGCAGAGCCAGGATTTAAGGCCAGAACTACCTGACTCCAAAACTCGAGCTCTTCACCCCTCTGTGCTGCCTTCCTGGTGTGGCTGGATCTCGTGGGGTGAGGTCCACCACCCAATTAGGACTTGACCTCTGTCTGAAAAGGAAAGGGAAGTACAGTTCCAGGTAGATGCAGACTTGAAAATCAGGAGGTCATCAATTGAGTCTGTAAGGACCACGTTTGCAATGGCACCGCCATCCAACTTTAATCAGGCAAGGAAATAAAATTCAGTCTATCACAGAGTTAGAGGGAATTTAATCATCCATGAGTCTCAGACTCTTTGATTTCATGAAACAGTGCAATTTAAAAATAGAGATTGACAAAGGATTACCAATTCTTTGTAGTTAATCTACAGAAATTATGGATTTTTTTTTGTTTAACAGTTTTTACTATTTATTAGTTTTTACTTTTTGATTTATGGAATCATAAAATTTCTAAATAGAGATTGCCAAAAGGTTAACTTTTTTTTGTAGTTAATTTTGTTCTCTTTGATATTTTTCATTTTTTATTAGTTTTACTACAAAATAAATTCAGCTTGCTTTGTCCAAACAAAAAAAGGAAGAAAACGAAGTCCAAGTCCTGTTTAGGAGAAAGATTGCTTGGTAAGCAGCACCAGTGTTCTTTTACAGCCTTATTAAATATAATAACGTACCAAGCATTCAAGTGATACATATAAACAATGCAAGCCACAAAACAAATATTTTCTCATTGTGACGCTTTAAGATATTCATGTAAGAACACAATTAGTTCTGTGAAGACTGTCCAGGTGCTATAGACTGAATATTTGTGTCCCCTCACAATTCATATGTTGAAACCTAATCCCCAGTGTGATGGTGTTTGGAGGTGGGGGCTTTGGGAGGTCATTAGGTCATGATGGTAGAGCCCCCATGAATGGGATTCCTGCCCTTATAAAAGAGACCCCAGAGAGCTCCCTCACTGTTTCCACCAACTGAGGACACAGTGAGAAGACTATGACCCAGGAAACAGGTTTTCACCAGATATTGAATCTGCTGGCACCTTGATCTTGGACTTCCCGGCCTCCAGAACCGTGAGAAATAAATACATGCTATTTAAGCCACCCGATTTATGGTATTTTTGTTATAGCAGCCAAAATGGACTAAGACACCCGGTACAACGAGAGAAGATTCATGTGGCAGAGAAAACAGTATCTTCTGCCCTCTCCTGTTTACACTGAAATGTGAATCTTCAACGTTGCACCCTAGAAACTTTTATGCACTTAATTCTCAGGATTACTGCATAAATTACAAAAAAACCCCACAAAGTCTGTCTTTAACTTTCCAAATGCCTGTTTGTCCTTAAAAAAACAGCACCAGAAATACAGCTATGCAGCTGTCCTTCACCCTCTGATCTTATAAAGCCCAGCTATGTAAGCATCACAGGATGATTCAGGAAACTAGAAAGTCTTATATTGTCTTGTACTTATTGAAATATCATCTCTCAAAATTTTCAAGTCACAAACGTTTCTCTTCATATGAAGATGCTAAGCATCTTTGCACGTATTTATGTACTATTTGTTTTCCTTTCCTGTGAACTGTCCACATTCTTTGCCCATTATTCTACGGCTCTGTTGGTCTCTTATTGATTTGAAGGTGCTATTCGTATTTTGCATCTATTAACCGTTTGTGATATGAACTGCAAATATTTCCCCGAAGTTTGTTATTTGCTTTCTGATTTGCTTATAGCATTTTTTTTTTGCTCTGAGAAAGTCTTTGTTTTGTTTTATATATAATTGAATTATTTCTGTATAAATGTTCTTTATATATGCAAACATTTTTATACACATAATTGAATGTATTAATCTTTTCTTTTATGGCTTCTGGATTTTGAATCATAGTTTGAAAAGTCTTCCTTACTCCAAGATTATAAAGCAATTCTCTTGTGTCTTCTAGTCTTTTTATGGTTTTGTTTTACATTTACATGTGAGAGCCTCTAGGACTTTGTCCTGGCATACAAAGCAAAGTATGGAGCCAACTTTATTTTGTCCAGATAGCTATCGAGTTATCCCAGTTCTATCTATGGAATAGGCCAGCTTGGCCCTGATAAATTGAGATGTCACTTATATAGTATGCCAAATTTCATTATTTTCTGGACTTTCCACTCTGTTCCATTGAACTGTCTGCCTATTCATTCACCAGTAACACACTGTTTAAATTATTGAGGCTTTTAATTGAGGCTATGCTTTAGTATGTGGTAGGGCAGGTCTCCATTCATTGTTCTTGTTCAAACTTCTTATTTTGTCAAATAAGGACATTGAACGAAAAAAA